ATTTTTTGTATTGATTTAAAAATGGGTGTCCCACTTCACCAAGGAAATTAATCTCCTTTAAGAACAAACAAAAAACAAACAAAAACCCAACAACAAAAAAGAAACAAAGCAACAGCTGCTTGTAATTGCTGTTCATATATAAGATTTCTCCTTTTTTTTAAAAAAAAAAAAATATCACCATCCAAAGGTGAAAAAATACTTTGCTTTCAGGGAAAATGGTATCTCATTAATTTATTAATTAATTGGTAATGTAAAAAAACAATTAATCTTTATAGGGTTGTGTTGTATTATAATTTAAATGGCATTTCTATGCAGGCATCACAAAGAACTAGTAGATATGTTGCTCAAACTTTACTAGTTGTCAGATTTTTTTTTTTAAGAGAGAAATATTTACAGTATATAATTAATTTGGGGAATTGAGGTTTTAATTAATTTGGGTTTTTAAAGTTTAATGAGAGGTTATTGCTCTAACTAAAACTGAACTCTCATAAATAAGTGTCCTTTAACAATGAAAGTATTTTCCTCTCTGTATCTCCATTGATATAGCTGCTTGGTTCTCACATATTTTAACTGTTCAGAGGAGGGGGGGGAAAGATAATATGTCCTTCCATTACCTGGGCAATTCCTCTTCTGTCTCTCTGAGATGAGCCCATATTCAAGGACAGAAAAGCCAATTCTGTAGACATCTGAATTAATGAGCTTGTCTGACCAGTGTTACAATTTTAAAATTCTCATTTCCAGCTTTCTTTACATGCCTCAGATCAAAAACAGTTTGCTAAATGTCCCATAATGTTTTCCAGATATTTCAATGCACACTTTTTGAGGATGTTCTTATATTGTTATTTTATTCCTGAGAAAGCCAAGATAATCCTAAATATTGTTGTTAACAGAAAATTGTGTTGGAATCTTATGCGTCTTTCTGAGAGGTTGTTTTATTCTTCCTCTGTTATAACTTTTCAAACCATTCTCAATGCCCGGCCTAAGCACCGGCAGCTGGCCAGGAAATATGACTGCATTTCCATAACTTGTCTCTCAAAATTATAAAAGCATTCTGTTTTCACTTTGAAAACACCTTTTCATACTGGTGTAGCCATGCAGTACGAACACAATTCATTCTGACTTCACATATTTAAAATGGGGAAGGGGAGGGGAACAAAAAGTATTAAAATCTGTTAATTTTTGTACTGACAATAAAAATCTTTCTACGAATATTAATGATAAAATTACAAAATAAATGTCATGCATCTTTTTTTAAAAAAAATCAACACCGTCTTACACCACAGTTTCAGGGTTTCTGCCCGACAGAATCATTCATAGAACCAGAAACTGTATAAATTCCATATTTGTTTGTGAAAGCTAGCCGATGTGTGTAATGCATAGCGGCTGTTTGCATTTGGCACAACCCATCACGTACCTTCATATGCAATGGAAAGCTCTCCAACATCAGGCACAGGTAGTGATTCTCTCAGTGTAGATAGCACCAAGTGTAGAGAGGCAGTCTCAGCTGCTCATGTGTCATAACGGGTGGGGAAAATCTCTCTCAAACACACACACACTCATTCACTTTTAAAATATGTATTTGCTGGGAAGGTCCCCTTTTACCACTAGGGACAATATTTAGCCCTTCCAAGCTCCCCCCCCCCTTTTTTTTAATGTCACTGTATGGAATAAGGATGTGTTTTAAAAATAGAAGAGACTATTAAGAAAAATATTGGGGAGGGGGCAAGTGCAAGTCCAGAGATTTGAAAGGGCTCCCGTGGCCTTTGGAAGCTTCCCACCTCTGCACTGTAGTAGTCAAACAGCCAGTTGCCACATGCTGGTCTCTCTCTGTTTCAGGACCACTGCATTCATTCTTAAATGATTTCAATGCATTAAAACATCTATAATAATGTTTGCCAGCCCTATATGTGCTTCTGATTTTTGAGCTTTATGCCCTATTAGTCACCATCCTGTTGGGTTTATGTGGTGAAAACCTAAAGTTTAGTAGGCACAGTTCCAGAAATCTGTTGTGCGCTCAGAGATACCTAGCTTATGCATGTGGGCATGTGGCAGACGGCCACAAAACTACAAAAATGTTTGCACAATTTCCTTTAAGCAGGTTGTGTTTTGCAGACGGGTTCCAGCCAGTCCAATTTCATACTTTCCCCTAAAGCACAAGATTTTCAAAACGTCTGCTAAGAAAGCCATATCTCAAGTAATGTTTCTCTTGTGTGTTGTTTCCCGAGTAACATAACTCTCTCTTCATCCTTTTTCCACAGTTCCTAAGTTATCTCTGAGTCTGAATTTGTGGATTTTGAGCAAACTTTTGGAAATCATAGTCTCAACAAAATGTTCTCCTTCTTTATTTGGCTAATTTATCAAACAACCCTTCAGTACTTGCTATTTTAAATAGCTATTTGCCAGGTTGCTTATGATAGGGAAGCTTTAGTCAATTACAGGAAAGCTGATATTTTTGTTTTAGTCATCTGTGTGCTACAAATAACTGATTTGGGTGTGTGGCCACAGGTTCCTAGTAATCTCTGTTTGTGGTCTTGTTTCTTAGCAAGTCCATATTATGCTCTCTGATTTATCCATATCACCTTTGGGGGAAGTGTTTGGGCTAAATCTAGCTAGAGTGGACCTAGTGAAATCAAGGGGAAATGGATTGACCAAGTCCCCATTGGTTCTGTTGATCTACTGAAGCAAATGCTGACATATATACTAAGGCTAGTATCACTGAGCAGCTTTACACTGGTATGGTGTAAGACAAATCAGCAACCTAATGCTTGTCTCGGAACACAGATTTCCTTGCACACACTAGTCCAAAAGCCATGCAAGCAAGGAAAAGGTTTGCTGTCTGAAGTAACTTTTTAAAAATATGCTCTCTTTGCGCCTTCAGATATTTATATAGCTTTATAATCTTAGAACTGCAGAGCTGGAAGGGACTCTCTGGATCATTGAGTCCAACCCCTGTCAAGGAGGCACAGTGGGGAATTGAACTCCCAACCTCTGACTTTGCAGCCAGACACCTAAACCACTGAGCTGTCCAGCAGTTCAGTACGTTATACATTAGAATGATATTCTTTCTAAAATATGCCTACTCCCCATAAAATAATGAAGACATTTATTAGCCTAGGCCATTTTTGATACCTCTGTTTCCTTTTAAGGAAAGCTACTGGTCTATGCTTGAGAAAGCTTTGTAAAACATGTGTCTGGAAATGCTATCTATGTTAAGAAGTCAAACTGAACTTATGGAGGAACAGTGTTTTCTCATCCTTTTTCAAAATTCTGGCTTAACTCATTATATTTTCCATAGGACTCATCAATGTTCTGCGCTGGATAATTTAACCCGAAGTGTTAGAGGGAATGTGGAAAGATACAGTAGGAAAAGCTATAAGCGGACCACAGCAAACAGACATTTGTGCTAATTAGTGTGATGCATTTTATGATGAATTTTCTATAGAACAGAATTATCTAGTCATGAACAAGTGAAAAAGAACAGTATCTTTACAGTAAGTAAAAAGATTGAACAGACATTTGTTTCCATGGGGAAGAATACCGAAGCTGACCCAGAGATTGCAAAGGAAAAATAATCCAGCATTGTATCAAGGAGAAATGTAATATTTCACACCAGAATGCTTCAGAAATTATTTTTGCTCTCTCCTAAACAGAAAATGACTTGTTTATCTTGTTGGGATCATGTGGGATCTAGAAGTGGAGGGCAACCCTCTTCTGTGCCCCTGCTTTTCAAGAATCCAATAGCAGAAATCTGTTTTTTAAAAAAAAACCTGAAAAAGGGAGAATTTATGGGAAAACCCATACTGCCAAGAACCATGCTTCAGTTTCAGAGAAGCCAGTGGCCAAGGTACAATACTGTGTCTAGACATTCTTCTTTGGCGCGGCTATTTTTTAAGATCTATATTCAGTGGAATATAGCACTTCTTTCCCCCAAATTCTGTTGCCACTGGAAACAAAATATTGCACAATGGACAGTTGGGAATGTGACACAGATGCCATTCCTTTAGACTGGCACATTGACTGTGGAGTCAATACTTACTTTGAAGAAGTCTTCAAGTGAATGAAATAGCTTTGTCTTACATTGTGAATGAATATGCCATGTACTTTTTAAATCAAATATGACACAGTAAATTTACATGAAAGTCAGAGAGTGGTGTTAATTCCTGTACTGTGATCTGTAAAGGAAACATAAAGAATGGGATTTGAAAAAAGATTCAGCCCATATCTCTTCAGTGATTATCTCAAGGATTTTTTAAAACTTTAATTTTATTTTCTAAAAAATCAAATGTGTCATTAACGAAATAGTGTGAGCTCCCAAAGCTAATAATAGCACTTATTTTGGTGCTATTGTGCATACCCTATACTTGAAGTATATTCCTATACTGGAAGCTGCCTAGAGTGGTTGAATAGACCAGATAGGCGGGGTATAAATCAAATAAATAAATAAATAAATAAAATAAAGGTGATTTATTTATTTAAAATATTTTTGGCACACTTTACTCCTTGAAAGGATCCATCTAAAAATTCATCCCAGAGGAATTAATGGCTAGATTAGATTTAAATCCACACTCAAGCACCACATTTTGGGTCCTGATTTGGGGCTAGCAGGGTTATGTGGAGAAAATTATGGGAAGAGCACCACACACCCACCTATAGAAGCTGTTTTCTGCCAGTATGGGAACTAACT